GACAACAAAGCAGCGGCGGCATACATAAATCGCCAGGGAGGCGTACGATCAGCGTAGTTGCTGAACACAGCCAGGCGGCTGCTGTGCTGGGCGCAAACACACGTACTCTCTATCAGAGCGGTGTATATTCCCGGTGTGTTGAACAGAGGGGCGGACCTCATGTCCAGAGGAGGTCCTCGCCAAGGGGACTGGAGCCTCCACCCCGAGCTGGTCTCCCAGGTATGGAGCAGGTTCGGGAGAGAGGAGGTGGATCTGTTCGCTGCACGCAAGAACGCGCAGTGTGCCCTCAGGACCACCCCCCCCCTGGGCGTGGACGTGTTCGCACACAGGCCGGCCCAAGGTGTTGTTATACGCTTTCCCACCAGTCCCTCTGATCCCTCGGTTCCTGGACCGAGTGCAGGAGGAGAGACTGACAGCGATCTTAATAGCACCGGAGCGCACGGGAGCGTCCTGGTTTCCATGCCTACAGCGGATGCTGTCAGGGAGACGGTGGGAAATTCCGTGGCGCAGGGACGCTCTCTCCCAGGTAGAGGGAGCGATCAGCGGTCACCCAGTATTGGGCCAACATTTGTGGGCATGGCCCCTGAACGGGAACATTTAGAGGGGCTGGGCCTCTCTAAAAATGTTATCAGTACCATTCAGGGTTCACGGGCGGCGTCCACCAGAGCATCCTACACAGCCAAATGGACAGCGTTCCAGCGCTGGTGTGTAGGGAAAAGCCTGGACCCCGTTACGTGCCCCCTGCCTCACGTGCTGTCGTTCCTCCAGACGTTACTGGACAGGAATTTGGCTTATAGCACGGTCAAAATGTACGCTGCTGCCATTTCATCTTGCCACGTAGGGTTTGGTGTCAGCACGGTGTTTAGTCACCCTCTGACAACACGTTTTCTACTCTACGGGGAGTACAGAGACTCAGACCGGTGTCACGCGCTTTGGCGCCTCAATGGGATTTGGCGTTGGTGTTACGCGCACTGAGTAAAGCTCCATTCGAACCTTTGGATCAGGTCCCCCTGAAGTTCTTGTCAGCCAAAGTAGCTCTGCTCTTGGCTCTGACATCAGCTAAAAGAGGTGAGTGATTTGTCTGCTCTCTCTGTGGCTCCGTCATGTCTCCAGATCTAAGGAGATGGCAGCTCAGCTGTTTTGCGCCCTAACCCGGCTTTTATGCCAAAGGTTATCACAAGCTCTTTTTTAGATCAAGAGTGATAACTTTGGATGGTTTTTTTCCTCCTCCTCACACATCGGAGGAAGAAGCCACATCTCATCTCCTCTGTCCCGTACGTGCGCTGTCATGCTATATTGCACGCCACGTTGCGCAGGTCCCAGCGCCTGTTTGTGCATTACAGAGAGCGCTCAATAGGGCAGCCTCTGTCTGCACAGCGCCTGTCACACTGGTTGTGTGAGGCTGTGTCACAGGCTCCTCTGGGGTGGATCCCCCGGACAACATCAAAGCGCACAGCATCAGAGGAATTTCAACCTCTACGGCTTTGCACGGAGGAATGAGAGTGGAAGACATTTGCACTGTAGCATCTTGGTCTTCCCCCTGTTCTTTTATTCGTTTTTATTTGAGGGATGTCTCCCATTCCTCTCTTACACATTCAGTACTGAGTGTCCCGTCAGATTGAGTAATGTCGGGGACTCAACGGTGTGCCCTCTCTCCTGCCTGTCGGCACTCAGAGAGCTGCCCCTTTTCCCCTCTTTTATCGTTTTAACAAGTGGGATTTTTTTATCTCTACTTTTTTTAAACTACGGGTATTCACCTTCATTCCCTTAAATGCTATATTTCCAGGGGCTGTGATGCTCCTTTACGCATGGGTTATTAATTGAGTAGATGTGTTTTTGTACTTCTGGTAACGGACGGACCAGTGGGGCGTGGACTACATCCTGCTTCGCCCTTAACGCAATAGCGATAGCCTTAGAGGGCAAAGCCTTATACGAAATAGAACTGGGGTTACGTATTGTAACCCAGCTTCTATGAGTATAGGCGCAGCCCTCTAAGGTTCAGGCCCCACTGGCTCCACGAATAGCTGAAGAAAAGCTGTTTGTGTGGGAGCAGATTGTCGGGCCTCCTTCCTATTTATACGGAAGTGAGGCCGTAGGTGGGGCCCACGTCATAGGTGGGCGTGGATCAGTGCTGCGCATGCGCAGTGGGATTACCCAATAGCGATAGCCTTAGAGGGCTGCGCCTATACTCATAGAAGCTGGGTTACAGTACGTAACCCCAGTTTTCTCCTCCCTCCTCACCTGTGTCTTGTTTGTTTGATCAGTCCTGTGTGCATTTAGGTTCTGCTTTTGCTGTGAGTCTTTGTGAGATCCTTGTTGTTGTTGACTGTTCACGGGGGAGAGTTCTGCTCTGATTGTTTACTTGTAGCCTTGAAATAAAGGTATTTTCTGTTAACCTCCTATCCGTTCCTGCATTTGGGTCCTGCCTGCTTCGCTCACCCCTGACATACTAGTTGCTATTTAGATTTTTACAATTAAAGTCACATTACATATATCATAAATATAATTATTCAGGTATTTTTAATTCAATTGTGACTATTTCTAATTTAATTATTGATATCACAGCTTGGAACAGTAACGCAACGTCTACACAGCAGCGTTAGAAAGATCTTGGAGGTGGGCGTATCTGAAGCTTGAGGATTTTTTGCGAGCAACCAATCACATGAATCTCCCGCCCGCGACATACGAAGCAAAAAAGCCCGAAGTAAACTGGATATAAACTCCCCAAAACAGGCGAAAACCTACCACTGTCTCTGCCACCTCCCTCCATGCCTGGCTCCTCCGGTTTATATCCCGGTAGGTCTGGTCATAAAGCACCGGGTGATTGATTCGCTACCGCTAATTTCTCCTCCATTTTTTGGAATATGAGGAAATGACCTGCGGTATGTCTCTCCCAGCATACACGCCGTTTGATTGGCTAGAGCTTGAACTGTCAGATTTGCGTACACGGGATTTGATTGGCTGACGCTTCCACCTCAGCCTCAAAAGTTGAACATTGTTTAACTTTGAATCCTCAAAATCCTCAAAATCTCCGCTCGCCTGCCCACAATCCATTTCGGCGAAAAGTGAGGGAAAGTGACGTCACCCCATTCAAAGTGAATGGGCAGAAGCGTTTCAAGATTTTTTTAACGCTGCTGTGTAGACATTCCGTAAGACTATTAGTAAAAATGAGGGCTGTCAACGGTAATGCGTTACTCTTTGAAATAATCTGCAAATCTTTACCTGTTAAAAAACTCAAAGCACCTTCACTACCTCGCTGTAACAGAACACCTGATCCATGACCAATGTTCTGCACTCGCTCTTTAGGTGTGGTGAAAATGAAGGAAAGGCATTTCTTCAAATCATGCTCCAGTTTCTTGACGTTACACAGGATGTGAGGTAGCGGAGAGGGTCACCACTGTAGGAACAGATAGTGCTGCAGTATGAATCCTGCCATACGAGCATATGTTAGTGCACATCATACAGAGGGGAGTCTCTGCGGCTCTCTGTGACAGCAGCTCTGTCCATGCTTTAGCTCAGTAAAATGTCCAAAACCATGCTAGTAATTCAGAATCATGTTATAATTACATTTTAAAAACTCTTGATTTATCTTACCAGTTTGTCATGGGTTTCTTTATTACAACACCACACATGTTTGGGTTGTATCTCCTCCTAAAATACAAGTAAGTACTGGTATTTGAAACTTGTGATTAATCATGATAATTCATTGATTATTATTGTGATTGACGTGATACATTTTTTTAACCGATTGACTCCACTAGTAAGAATGTCCTTTAAGTTATTTTAATTTGCATATCAACGGAAATTCATTTTATAACTTCTCAGAACTGAATTTAGGAAACAAAAATGTAATTGAAGAAATGATAGACCCTAAAACATGCATTTGTTAACAACACATGAGGAAAACTTCACCCATTTGAAACGATGGCTCGCTGACAAATACGTTATACAAAATGGTTTGTTGATATTTCAGACATATCAGAAGTACAATTATACATCTGGAATGGAAAATTAAATTCTTACAAATTAAATTGACCATATATCTGTTATGGTCATTATAACTTGTGAAAAGGGAATTAGTGATATAAGTAATTAAACTAAAGACATCTTTTAAAGCAATCGCTACAAATTACCACCACTAAATGTTAAAACAGCCTGCCATGGATCATGCTACATCTCAAACAATGGAACTAGCAGGAGTACAGCAACATTAGCTGTTGGCTGTTAGCCGCCAGTATCAGAGGTGTGTTTCGTTCAAGCTCAGTTCAGTAAATGTATTTATTGCACCAAGGTTCTCGTTTCTGAAAAGACACATTCAGGTTTTTTTTGTTTTTTTTAAAGCAATATAACATTAGATATATAGTTTAGTTTTATGTGAGGGACGGAAGGGATGGAAATTATCTCAAAGCTAAATCTGGCACTGTTACGCTTGACAAATGTTAATGTTTTAAGTGTTCATTACTGTGCATTGTCCCTGCCAAATAAACAATTACATAAATCAATAAATAATGAAGAGGGAATTTTGACCTGTTAAATTTCCGAGGCAAAGTGTATATAGATGGTAATACAAGAGTGTATGTTGACGTAGATTGAATTATAGAAAATCATGGAATTCAAACAAATTCCTGGAGTCTGAGGAGTGACCTCGCTGGCGCGTAGGGTGTTACAGAAGTCCTACTCTTTAACTGCACCCACCTCACCGATCTAACATCAGACTAAATAAGAAAATCGGCCGCAGTGGAGTAGCATTGTTAATTGTGGTGGTAATTACTGTAGAAATGGAACTAAACTTGGTTACAGAGATTCCCCAGGTGCAGTGACACTGCAATGATGTTGACAGAAGAACATAAACACTAGCCAATCAGAACACACTGGGCCTTTTAGGGAGGGAGCCATAAGAGACGTGTTGAAACAGTCAATACAGGTATATTCAGGCAAAGTCGAAAAGTTGCATAATATGTTGGCACTTTACCTCAGTGAATGAGAAGTTGTACGCTGGCGGTGATGATTTCCCCTCCGCTGCCGTTCCCTGTGCTGCCCCCGCCGGCGAGGGCGCATGTAACTGGGCCATCTTCTCTGATCCTTATGTGATTGGTTTGTGTGTTGATCCTCAAACCAGTCACTGGGTAGAGTCAGAGTCACCATGCACAGCCCTAGAGGAGGCTTGGAAACAGGATGGACAGTTGGAGGGATTACATGAAGGACAATGAAAATGGTTCAATGAAAGAGTAAGAAGGACTGAGAGAACTCTGGTCCTCACCTGTGGGAGACAGGTGGCCTTGTGCTCCTCTGTGTCCTTGAAAGCATGAAGGGTGATGCAGGTCCCGCGGGCTCTGGTGTCGCTCTGTCTGTGGAACAGTGTCCGCACCCTAAACCCCTCCTGCCTGCCCTTATCCCTAACCCTCTCCACATGCTCTGAAAGGAGGAAGGCGGAAAGAGGGAGGACGGGCTCTGATATGTGCTGTGGAAAAATAATGGGGATTCAAGACAGTTGGCTATAACAATTTATGTAGAATTTATGTAGAATTAACATATATGTTACACAGCTTAGTTGGATGCCCGGTTCTGATTGGTACATTTGGACATTAGCATGCTCGTTTTAGCAGACCGTTGGGTAGCTGACTGTATGAAGGACACTCTGTCCAAGAGACCATGTGATCATATCTTTCTGCTGGAGGAAGTCCTGTCAATTTAATGTCAGCTGTAGTTAAAAAACACACATTACTTCTCCTCTGGCAGAAAACAACAAGAAATACTTTTTTCGAGAGCACAAAACTTTGGATTCATGATGGTTGAACTGTACCCAGCAAAGAAAAGAAAAAAAGAAGATCAAGAAATCAATAGGAGGAAAGAGACTTAAAGACTGGAGGACAGAGATATCGACCCATTTCCAAACTGCCCCCCACACCCAACCCCTACACACTTCCACATTAAGTGCCAGTGAGTCTGCATCGGTCCTGACTTCACCTGATGCACTACCTGATCGACCCAACGCGGTTTGAGTCGGTCCCAGGCTGTTAAACAGTTATTTGCAAACATTTACTGAAAAACTGCCATACAGATAAGTTAACAACTTCATGGTTACTTCGTATTTTTTACTTAAGATCATATACCCGTGTCTAGTCTCGAAAAAATGGAAAACGTGCATTTGATTGTTAAGTTGTGTATATTTACAAACTGTTGCAAAAACCAAAAAGCTTGTAAACAGAATATTTAAAATATATAAATAATCTCCATTAAAAATGTTTGGAGTTTTATTTGAGTTATTGTTTATAATTTTTTGTCCAAGTGATGCTGATTTGAAACCGTTGTTACGAAAAGTAACAGCATTTCCTGTTTCTACCGGAGAGAGGGGAGTTTGTTCCAAAACTGCTGTATTTACACCCCCGACCTGAAAGCTGTGGCAGCATTCAGCTGTGAGTGTCACTACAGATGAAGTGGGAGTAGGGGGGCAGTTTGGAATTGGGCCATCTACAGAAGAAGACAGACAGGAAGTAAATACCAAAAGGATCAGCAGAATAAGACAGACAGGAAGTAAATACTAAAGGGATCAGTAGAAGAAGACAGACAGGAAGTAAATAATAACAGGAACACGGTGTGGGCTCTGAAAGTGTTTAAAGACTGGTAATAGAAAATAAATGTGAACAGACAGTTAAAGAAAACCTCGATCAGTGCTGCTGTCATTTTAAGTGTTGTTGCTGTCTCTGCTGTGCCTGCTGTTGCTAAGCAGAGTGGACTTTTTATTTCTTGATGGAGGCAATATGATCATTTATAAATGAATACAAATAATTTATAAAACAACATTGTGATTAAAATTGCTGATTTATATATTAAGTAGCTGTTTAAGCGGGACAATGTACAGCGAGCTGGTCATTATACTCACATCCTTCACAGTCTTCCTCAGCAGATCAGCTGTCAAGCTCAACTTTTATGCAAATATGGACAGAAAGCTGAGTAGGGTGAGACGTGTCGGGATGCTACTCTTCTTCTCATTAATAACCGGCTTGCTGCACATTATCCCTTCCTTTTCATCTTCTGTCAACCCAACCGAAATATGTCTGTCCTGTTCTTTTCCCTCTTACCTGTGTTACTGAGTAAGGGCCAAATGAAGCTTGGAGGCCTGGTCTGGGGGCCTGGCCAGGCGGTGCCACCATTAAAAAGCTTTGGGAGAAGGAGAAGGGGCTGGAGTTGGAGAAAAGGGGGCCCAGCTCCGCCTGAGACAGAGGAAGGAAGTGCCAGGGTGGAGGGACGACGGACATGTGGACAGGCAGGGAGAGGGGGGGCTGCAGGAGGGCTTGAGGGACTGAGGTTATAACAAAGAAAAGATAAGAAGAAGGTGAATTTCTTTCTGTTCCATCAAGCAAATAAGTTACAGATATATGCAACAAGGTTAAAACTATTAACAGGGACAGTTACTGACATACAGTTATAAATTACACGCTGCCCCTTTAAGAGGACCAGAGACTCAGGTAAATATATCCTTAAAAAATCATAAAATACAAAAATAGTGTCAATTGTAATTGCAAAAGGTTATATTGAAGCTAGTAGCTTGAGTCTCATAAAAGTTTGTTCTGCAAATTTGATAACACGTGTGAGGGTAAGTGTGGCAACTATTGCTAATCTTGGTAATGCTACAACTAGGTCCTATGTATACTTTCCACGTTAGCGTCAGATCCCATCTCAGTGGTGATAGCCATACTGTTGATGAGTTCATAGAAGAGATGGAGCGTGTACTAAGAACAAGGGGTTTTAGTCCTGATGGCCAAGTAGACTTCATCCTCTCACACTCAAAGGGTTCAGCCTTAGAGGAGGTTAAACTATGTATGGGGGAAGAGTTTAAACAACCAACGATATGTTTGCATATCTAATAGCAGCCTTTAGGGAGAAACGTACTACTCCACAACTGTTGCATGCTTTTTATGCTCGCAAGCAATTAGAGTGGGAAAACTTCTGTAGCTTATCTCGTGTCCTTTCCCCAGATTTGTAATGCCGCTCTTCAGCAGTCCCCTAATGTATACACAGGTCACTCTAAGGCCTCCTTCACACGGGAACGTTTGCGTTTATGCACAGTATGCGTATTCTAAAAAGTCTTCCGTTCACATGCATTCGTTTCATTTAACGTGTCTGTTCAAACGAGACCGCTGGAAACGCTGTAGTACATATGCCGGGACTGTAAGTGGCGCTGTAACTTCCGCCAAAATACACCAAAAGCAGCGAAGAAGAGCAGCCCGAGCAGCCCCGCAGCAATGTTGCCATGGCTACCCTTCTGTTTACGCCCCGCGGTGTATTTAGCAACATGTAGTTCATGTAATTCTCCATGTCCACTTGTTGCTGATGGTTGTGGTAGAGGAGCTGTAGATTGTGCACTAATATCTGTAGCATGGTCAGTAGCAGTAGCACTAGCAGTAGCTACTGGCAGGAGGAAGTGTGTGTGGCGATTGCTGGTATTCAGCGGGATATAGTCATTTCCTCAGCATATGGATAAATGCAACGGGGAAGTTAACTGAAAGAAACCGAATCTGTGGATATTGCATTGACCGACCAAGAAGCACGTCTCCGTGGAGAGGACGGCTCAGAAAGAGAGATATTCTCTACAAACACCGGGTGAGATCGCTCCTTTGTCAATATAATGGATCAATGCATGAAATCTGACTCTGTTTATTTTGTTTAAGGAGTATATTGGGCGTTAACAATTCTGGTTTGCCTTTTATAATATTATTTCATTCAAGAACCCCTTGTGCGTTTAATTAACACAGCTATTTTTGATAGTTGCTACAGCAGTGTGCAGGAGAGGTGGGGCTATCGTTATTTTTTCAGGAAATATTCGTATAGAGGTGATTACACGGACTCGGTTGACCCCCCAGAGCGTTTCGTTTGCAAATCTATCCACCTTGGGACCCGTTATCGTTTGTGGGGTCAGTTTCTATCGGCCTCGTGTAAATAATAGGGCTATACGCACGCAAAACTATGCAGATACAAGCCGTTTTCTCCTCGTGTAAACGGCGCCTAAGACAGGGGTGGGGAACCTCCGGTAGGCCTGTCGTGATAATCAATAAATTGACTTATCGTACGATAAATAAAAATGGACTCGATAACTTTTCTGAGCTCGATAAATTGCCGTTTACATGCGTGTTTGTTTACATAAGCATCAAAGATGCATTTGCCCGACAATGCAAACATGTTGGTGTTCCTTGCTCGAAATCTTTGAAATACAGATTTGGATATGGCCTGTTGAGGCATCTGGGTCTTTGTATGGACAGTGGACTGTACACTTGACTGCTATTTTAAGGAGTGAAATGTGTGCTCAATATATATATATAAGAGAGAGAGCTCTGTTTTCCAGCCTGAGTCTATTTAATTGATTGTTTTGGTTGTGTGTGATTTAATAACATTTTTATAATTTAATTTGTTTTATTTATTATATATAATTTATATATTTGAATATTATTTCACATTTCATTTGCAATGTTGAATGTTCAATAAAAAAGTTCTGTTTGAAAGGATGTACTTTAATTATTATTATATATTATCATTATGTCAGTGGTCTAAAATGGTCTTACAACGGTGCCGACAATATTATCGTTTATCGCAATAATTTCCGGGAAAATGTATCGTCCAACTAAATTAATTATCGTAACAGGCCTAACCTCCGGCCTCCGGGCCGTATACGGACCGCGAGACCATTTGGTACGGCCCTCGAGGTAATTTATAAACACACGCAAAAAAGAAAAAAATTAAAGAAATCTAGATTGCAAAAGAATTAAACAAGCGAGTGCCTGTTTTTCCGGGCCAAGGTCAAGGTGCTTGAACACAACACGAGCCTAACGTGTCATCACGTGGTATATGTCTCGTCTGACAGGGGTGCAGTTCTGAAGGAGAGCGACAGAACGTCGCTCCGGCACTTCCAAAAATTGCAGTACCCATAAGGAGCCGTACACATGCCGCAGTTTTTGCGTGGCTGTGTCTTTAGTTGAAAGCCCAGTGGCGATCTGTTCATCTGTCATACTGATCATACAGTCAATAACTTTGTTGTTATTAGCATCTGGTTAGCTAGCTATGCTAACGGATATAAGAAGCTTTTTCTACAACCAGTGAGGCAAAGGCACATCTTTATATGATCATTATAGTTATAAAAAAATAAGAGAATAAAGTAAACAGGTATAAAATACAATATGACAGTAAAAAAAAGTTGTTATTAATAAACAAGAATACAGTTTAAAAGGGGAGTGATTTGTAAAATATCCATAAAGAAAAAGAAAATCTGCTTACAGTTCTGTTTCATATGGATGTTGAGAGATGTATCCATAGATCTCTTAATGTTGCTCTCAAAGTGCACCAGATTGATGCTAACTTCAACATTTAAAAAAAAATCTTCCCAGGGGAGCATGCCCCCCGGACCCCCCTAGAGGAGGTTAGGTCCCCCCCCAAAACATGTTCACATGGATAGGAAACTAAATACAGTTTCACACATCTTGCGTCCATATCTTTCTGTTGTGGTGGTCATGCCACACCGTGCACGTGCATGCATGCGTGAGTCATGGCAAGATATCTGGATTAAGAGGTTGCTTTTTCTTTGCACAGCATGAAAGAAAGGCAAAATGAATGGGCTGGGATTTTAGTATTTTTAAGGTCAATAATTTGTACGGCCCTCGGAGGATGTTGAAAAAACTGAAATGGCCCTTGAGAGAAAAAAGGTTCCCCACCTGCTCTAAGAGATCAGTTTATTGAAGGTGTCAGAGACCCAGCTCTTCAAAGGGAACTTCGAAAGGTTGTTATGGAGAAACCCTGCGTTACTCTGTTTGATGTACGTGGTGTCAGGAAGACAGACCTAATGGTGATAGTATCGCTAGGTTAGAAACCTAATGAGTGAGGGAGAAGGAAGGATTCCAGAAAACACAAGCTCAGCCAGCAATGCCCAGAATGAGTTAACAGTAACACTACAGGAGGTAGTAAGTAATCAGTCAGCAGGGTAAAGGTATTGGGGAGCTCACAAGTACAGTCCACGAAGGTGGTGACAAAAGTGCTAAAACTAAATTCAGGCCAAAGTACACTGAAGATCGTCAACCAATCTGTTTCAGATGTGGACACATAGGCAGACAGTGCCCGGCACAGCGCAAAGCCAAAAGGCAATCCACCGTCACACCTCAGTACAGGGAAACAAGATCCCTCCATTGCTATGAGTTGCAAGTCAGAAGGCTCAGGGGCCAGCCCATTAACTAAAGAGAGGTTTTAAGAGAACGCTGTAGGCGCATGCCATGAAGTGGATATCCAAATATGTGACCTGCTCCATCGAAATCAGTCGCATTGACCCGAAGACACATTTTGATGTGTATACACTGTTGGAAAGAGGAGATTCCTAGCTTTCTAATGATATTAGGATTGTTTTTGTACTCCAAATATTAAGCGAAATATGTCACATTATATAATGACTGTCACCGAGTCATCATTTTGAGATAAAGGCCTTTCAAGTTTCCTCTTCTCTGGAATCCATCGATCTGATTGATTATTAGCGGAGCAAATGATCATAATACTACGGAGGGAAGATATTTTCGTTTGGATTACTGGTCTGGGGGAAGCTTGCGAGTGTCTGTGAATACGTGTGTGTGTTTATGTCATTTTGCGTTTGTGTGTATTGTGTTTGTTTCCCGGGGCAAACACTCACGAGAAACACCGGCTGTTGTTATGCCTGCTGTGATGTCAAGTTACTCCGTTCTCCGCTTGTAAATATGCCGTTACAAGCTCCATAGTTGTATTTATCATCTAAATTTGCCGAAACAAGTTTAATATTCTGAAAGCCAAGACTTTGTTTAATTGAAATCAGATGAAAACAAACTGCAACGGACCCTGCCGTGTTATCTATGATTACTATACGCCTTACATTCATAATTTCAGCAGAGGGAGGGGAAGCGGCGCTGCGGAACAGCAGAGTGGCGAGTGAAAGCTGTCATCTTCCCTTTACAAGCTTCAAACATGTATTTATCGTGTGATTTTGGAAATAAAAGTTTCATATTCTGAAAGGCAAGACTTTGTTTGTTTAAAATCAAACAAAAAACCTGAACCCCGAAAAACTATTTTTTTTTTCAAATCCACGTTTATTTTGAAATTAGCCGTTGCGACTTCCGACTGATTTCGATAGAGCGGGTCACATATGTGACGTTCCAGCTAACAGGTTACCTCAACTTGACCTTGACTATGTTGAGCTAGACATACAAACCATTGGGTTAACCATTCCAAAGAGGGGTTTCCTAATTGTTCGAGATGAGGATGAAGAAGAACCAGAATCAAACCTCCCAGGCATCATTGGTATGCACATTGTCAAAAGGTGCAGGCAGCTAGTTTTGGCAGAGTTCGACACAGTAGGACCATGTCTTAAAGGAGCTTTCCACCGGCTACAGGAGGCAGAACTGGCCGAGAAAGGGTCCACCGCCAGGGTTGCAGGTAGAAACAAGGTTCACATACCTGCTTTATCAATCGCCACAGTCTACGCTAGAGGGCAAAAGAGAACGTCTGACTGTGATGCTACTATGCTGTTGGAGCCAGGAAGCTCGTCGCTGTCCAGAGGTTTGATCGTTGTCCCCGGAGGTGTGTGGCGCAGTGGGCTAGTGCGTTGGTGTTCGGATCAGGGGAGCACAGGTTCAAACCCCACTGCAGTCAGCATGTCGTTGTGTCCCTGGGCAAGACACTTCACCTCAAATTGCTCCTGTGGGGATTGCCCACAGTATTGAGTATGTAAGTCGCTTTGGATAAAAGCGTCTAACAAGTGACATGTAATGTAATGTAATGTCCCCACTTTGGTGTCATCCGCCAGCAATGTGTTTCCAGTCCAGATAATTCACTTTTCACAAGAGGATGCTTGGTTACCTTCCAGAACAAGACGAGTTGTTCTCAGTCAGTGTGTTGAGGGTGACCCCCATGAAATGAGGTTAAATTGTTAACATAGGTTCAGGAGCATAGCCACGCCTAAAACTCCGCCTCGAACCACGGCCACCCCTATTTATATCCGGCAAAAACTTCCGGCCACCGCTTGTCTCATCTTTCAAAGACTGACAGGCAGACCGTGATTCACGCTGCGCGTCGTCACGGTTCAACACAAGCAAACGCTACCACGAGAAATTCTACTCACCATGGATCCCGAACTGCTGATCAACTCGCCGGAGTCAGATGAAGATCTCTTCGACATCGGCTACCCGCCATCCTCGGGTCAGCAGTCGGATCTAAGCCAAGCATCCGAACGGAGCCGCGTGCGCTCGGCAATCAGTGTCCCACACACCAGCCGCCACCGCTCCCACTCAAGCTCCCCCAACGAGATACCTCCAACTCCAGACAGGTCCCAGGCTTCGTCTACTCCACCAGCGAGGGCAAACAGCCGGGGCCACAACAGGCACAGCCAGCTCCAATCTCCCCACCACCGGCAGCCTGCCTCGCTCGCAGCCCCCGGCCACTCGCAGCGGCGCACTCGACACGCCTCTCGGACGGAGCCGCGCTCCGAAACGGAGCCCGAACTATGGAGCCCGAACTACGGAGCCCGAACTACGGAGGTGGACGGTCATTCAACTTCAACGTTTCCTGAAGGAAAACGGCATCCACTTTCACCGAAATGACAACAAGGCTAGACTGTTCAACCTCTACAAAGCCTACAGCAGCACAACGGCAAGAACAACGAGACACACAGCTCTTCCCGCTCCAGAGCCAACCACCGCGCGGCGCGCGCGCACCACGGATCGTGACGTCACAGGCCTCCGTCCTCCTCCACGGACACAGCCCGACTCACCAGCACCCCCTGGCGGGGGCCAGGTCGTATTGCCCTCTGTGCCTGCTCTCTCTGTGTCTGACATGTCGCAGCTCATGTCAACCTTTCTCTCATCCCTGTGCTCACAGGCTTCACAAAATCCCCTTGCACATACATCCCTTCATCCCTTCTTCTTCTCTACCTTCAGCAGTCCACAGCTACCCAGCTTCTGCTTACCTTCCTCCTTTAGCAGCTAACCCCGTAGCAACAGCGTCCCACCCAGTAAACCAAGGGGCCATGCTACATGCTAACCCATTAGCCGACTCTTACCCAGTACCTTCTTTTCCAACTGGTCTATCCTTTCCCCCTCCCCCTCCCTACCCCATCCCCAACACCCAAATGTTTTTCCTCCCTGTGCAACCAGCTACACTCTAGCCACAGCAACACCACCCATCCAGCCAGCCTCCTTAGTCTATCGCCCTTCCCTCGTGTCCCTCGTCTTGCGCCAGCAGATTCTCCTAGGTAACTACGTAGACTTAGCTCAGCTACTACAGCCTTCAATCATCGACACTAGCCAGCCCAGGGAAATGTAGACAACGAAGTTTTAAAATTAATAAAATGTAAACAATTGTCGGAGAGCATGAGAGACGTGAGGTGGCTGATATCTGTCAACAGACTTGCGGTCAGAGCTGTGGTCTCATGGAGCTGTTATATCAAAACTAAAACATGCCCCATGATTAACTGTGAGGAAGACGAGACCTTACAGCACCTCCTCATGGACTGCTACAGAGCCGAGGAGGTGTGGTCGCTCCTGCGGGGCATCGGTTTAGTATTCAATGTAAGATATGCCTCAATTATGTTTTGTATTCTAGATGAGGGGATGGGCATAAAGCAGAGGGAACTTTTTCAGATGATAATTTGTATCGCATGTATGAAAATGTGGAAAACAAGGTGTAAAATGATACTGAACCAGACAGTAATCGGCAGTAACACCATAGTGAAACAGATACTTACTGAACTAAGGAGAAAAAAGATCCTGGACAAATCCCAGACTCTGCCATGGGGCATCTTGAGTCTGTGACCTAACTGAGCCTCATAAGTAAAACGTGCTCTCCTTATGTTATTTATATATTTATACTTAGTGTGATGTGTGTATTATTGATGTAACTTGTATATAATGTACTGCCCTAATAATTTAAAATAAAGTTTAAAAAAAAAAAAAAAAAAATGCAGACCAACTTCGGTTTAGTCCAGCTGCGAAATCCATCACCTCAGAGGTCTAAGGACTTAACCCCCGCAGAGTTCGCCCTAGCTTTTTCCCTTTACCGCGATGTCATCTGCTCAGTCTACCCCACACGCAGACCCGAGTTAGACGAGTACCTCCGCATAGAGCTCGACATGGCCTTACGCTTCGGAGGCTCAGGTTTTTACACCTACCACATCCACTTCGCTAGCCAAGCCGCCGGCCGCATCAACCAGTTCAATCAGGGAACATACTGGGGCGCTCTGGACTCAGCACGCGCATCCCTCTCTTGCCAATCATGCGGAGCCCCCTCCCACCCGGCCTCAGCTTACTCAGTCAGCGCCCCACAACCCGAGCCACCCCGCTCACGCTCCTTTCCATCAAGAGGCAACGCCTCAACTTTCAACCGCCTATCACCTGCTGCACCTCCACCTCCCATCATCCCTAGGGCCGCATACAAACGCTCATCAGCCAATGCCCCCGTTTCAAAGGGCGCCGACAGACGCGGAAGGCCAATCCTCTACCAGGGAGGCAGGATGGTGTGTAACAACTTCAATTACTTAGGCTGCTCTCATTCTAGCTGCCGCCTCATGCACATCTGCTCCTTCTGCGGCAGCGCTCATGCCAGGAGCACCTGCCCTCACAACCCAACTACACCAGCAGATTGACTAGTACGGCACCTCAGCACACCCGTCAGGGTAAGCAACTTAGCTACAGCCTTAGTAAATCATCCAGATAGACAGTTTGTTTACTTTCTCACCCACGGCTTCTCCCACGGGTTCCACCCAGGCATAGCAATACTGCCCGACACATCTCACATCTGCCACAACCTTCAGTCCGCGTTAACAGAACCTCACACCGTTGACACCTTACTGGCTAAAGAAGTCAAAGAAGGATTCATGATAGGCCCATTCGACAGTCCCCCCTTTCCAGTGTTCCGCATCAGTCCAATAGGCATAGCTACTCGGAAATACTCCGGGAAAAAGAGGCTCATAATAGACCTGTCTTCTCCACACGGCTCAGCCATCCCGAGCATTAATAGCGTCATTCCAAGCCCAGACTTTTCGATGCAATACGCAAACATCGACCACGCCATCACCCTCATCCGCTCAGCAGGCCGCGGAGCATGGCTCTCTAAGGCAGACATCACCAGTGCATTCAAGATCTTGCCTATTCACCCAGACTTCTGGCGTTTCTTCGGAGTGTACTGGAAGGGAGCCTATTACTTCTCAGTACGCCTCACATTCGGCTGCAGAAGCAGTCCCAAAATCTTTGATTCCCTTTCAGAAGCTCTGTGCTGGATCTTGACAAACAACCACAGACTCCCCTACATGCTCCATCTCCTTGACGACTTTCTCATCGTCACTCCACCATCCTCACCCCCCCGCCACGGGCTGAGCACACTCATACAAACATTTTCAGACCTCGGCATCCCTATGTCCGAAGAGAAAACCTCAGGGCCTAAAACCTCCATCGAGTTTCTAGGCATCACCCTGGACTCAATGTCTTTCCAGGCTTCTCTACCCTCAGAGAAAGTACAGCGCATCACTCTCCTCTTGTCAAACTACTTACAGGCAGACAGATGCATGAAACGGCAGCTGTTAGCCCTCCTCGGCCACCTAAATTACGCCATCCGCATAATACCTCAAGCAAAACCCTTCTTATCCAACCTGCTTAACAGAGCGGCGTCAGTTCCCTCCATCCACGATCGACTAGTTCTCGACGACGCATGCAAAATGGAAATGCACCTTTGGCAGGATTTCTTGTCCTCGTGGAACGGCATCTCTTTCTTTTATGACGACTTCATTACCAAACCAGAGCATATCCAACTCTTCACTGACGCAGCCCCCTCCATAGGCTTCGGCGGCTACTACGCAGGGAGATGGTTCGCATCCACCTGGCCCCCAGAGTTCACAGCTCTCAATTCACAGACGCTTTCTCCTTCATCCGCACTTCACGAACTATATCCCATCATCATAGCTGCCATTCTTTGGGGGCACGAATGGTCTAGGAAAGCCATACTCATCCACACCGATAACAGCGCAGTCGTCGAGATCCTTAACAAAGGCCGATCTCGCTCCCTAGCCATCATGCAGTTCCTCCGCAGACTCACCTTAATCTCTGCCAAACACCAGTTCATCCTCAAAGCAGCACACATCCCAGGTCATGAGAACGGCATCGCTGACTCTTTGTCTCGTTTCCAATTTCAGAAATTCAGAAACTCGGCCCCAGAGGCGGATCTCCATCCCATACCAGTCCCACCGTTTTCAGCCACCACATTCAACTAAACCCACAACTGGAACTACTCACACACGCTTCACGGGAAGCCATCCTCAACAGCCTTGCCCCAAGCACCTTGTCAGCCTATCTCACCGGCTGGAATTGCTTTAAGGCATATCACGGCACATACTTCATCCCTCATCCCTACATCCCTCAATCCCTCATCCCTCATCCCTACATCCCTCATCCCTATATCCCTCATCCCTCCATCCCTCATCCATCATCCCTACATCCCTCATCCCTACATCCCAACATCCTCTGCCCATCACCATTTATATTTAAACGGTGCATATTTATATACTGCGTATACTAACATTCAATTCCAGGTATCGTCTGGGGGCCCGTAATCAGCCCACGCAGATCATGCCGGAGACGGAACCCCCACTCTGAGTCTCCCACTGCACGGACCACAGCTCGTCCTCCCAGAACATCCCTTCACCCCCCTCATATCATTCACATGTTACTTCAATAAACTTACAAACACCACACTGGTTTTTGGCGTGGTTCTTGCTAGTGAAGTGAAGTTTCAGCGAACTTCTGCCAACCATGAAGAAGTGACAATCGACCGAAAAGAAGACCAGTGAGCTGATAGTAACGTACAAGCTCTGCTGGATCGACTGCACCTTGGTGGAACACAAGAACAGCCGGCAGAACTGGGGGCACTCCTGAATAAATACGCTGATGTCGGACACCGTCATTTTCTCTGGTACCCTCCCCAATCTGATCAATGACGACATGTATAGTCGCATGTCATCATTTCAGCACTGATTGTCCAGCAAACGATATGGGCTTCGTAAATAATTGGACAGCCTTCTGGGGAAAACCTGGTCTGATTAAGAGAGATGGCATTCACCCTACTTTGGAAGGTGCAGATCTCATTTCGGCAAATATTTTAGGGCTTTGTGGACTTAATCCATGACAAACTGGAGTTGAGACCAGGACGCGGAGTCGCAGTCTTACACGCTTCTCTGCGCTCTCTCCTGGGCAGTCATTCATAGGAATCCCGAACCCAATAAAATACCCAATATTAACGGTGTGTGTGTCTGCCCAAGGACAATTTAAGGCAAAACCTAAGAGAGGTGTCATACATAATAATCTAATAAAAGTAAATATAACCACTAATACAGTGCAACAAAACAGGAAGATTTAATGTGGACTCTTAAACATAAGATCTCTAGCATCTAAAGCAATATTGGTAAATGATTTAATATCAGATTATAATATTGATATATGCTGTCTCACTGAAACTTGGTTGAGACATGAAGAATATGTCAGCATAATTGAAGCCACTCCATCCAGCCATATTAATACTAATATTCCTCGAGGCACAGGCCGAGGAGGTGGAGTTGCAGCCATCTTTGACTAAACCAAAATTAAATTATACGTCCTTTGAAAGCCTTGTTTTTAGTCTTCTGCATCCGACCTGGAAAACATTGCAGCCAATCTTATTTGTTACAGTGTACCGTGCCCCAGGTCCTTATTCAGAATTCTTATCAGAATTCTATGAGTTTTTATCAACTTTGGTACTTAAAACCGTCCAAGCCTCTCTGCTTTAGTACTAGTGTTTGTTCTGTGTCTGTTTTGGTCAGTAACAAGGACCATAGACTCTCTGTTAGTCTACAACCGACACGAGCTGCTTAAGATCAAGGGAAATGTGGGCTTTTTAGCAAAGTTTGGCCAGGGTGGACACACAAACTCCCCTCCCCCCTTCTATCGGTTGTACCTGCACGCCTACTGCGGGGCGGGCCCTGGTTACCCCGGAGACGCAGACACCGAGGCACACACAGTGGCTGGCTAGTCAGGGTGAAAGAGTGGCTAGCGTGGTCTCCTGAGCTGGCTCAGCACCCCCGCCCTTTCCCCACGGAATATGGACCTTGTTTTCGCCACCTGGCCTCCCGACGCCCCCTCGCCATGGTCGGCACCTGGCTGGTACCTGTCGCTGACCCGACTCAAGAGCTGCATGTCCTGCGCCCCCAGTGGTCTCGCCTCTCCCCCCCTGATGGAGTGAACCACCGCAACCTTCGGTCGCTGGGTCGTGAAACTCATGCGACTGTTGCCCCGGTTCCAACCAAAGGCGCGTGAGGCTCAGGTTTGCGGCTAAACCGTCCAATCACCGAGCTGAGGATCTTGCATACGTCTGTTTCCGGTGTTTATGACGATGTGAGATGTGAGATGTGAGACTGGGTTGGAGAATTGCACAGGGGAAAATAACGTATCTATGCCACAATTTTAGATGCGGATTTTGTTAAACTAATACGTTTGCGCTGTGGACCAACACTATAAATTGACGGGGAAGGGG